GCGTCGCGCGAAAAGACGCGCACAAACGAGTCGCTCGAGCCGCACACGACGTCGCCGTCGGGCAGCGCCGCCACCGACCACACCGAGATGGCGGGGATCGTGATCGTCTGGGCCGCCTCGCCATCGCGCCAGATGCGCGCGCTGCGATCCTCGCCCGAGCTGATCAGCTCGCCCCGGCCTCCGGGAACGGTGGCGAGCGAGTAGACGAAGCTGGTGTGCCCCGACAGGGTCTGCAACGGCGGGATGCTGCTGCCGCCGCTGCCGCCGCCGCTGCTGCTGCCGGGCTGTAGCGACGCGAGCGAGTAGAGGTTGATGGTGCCGTCGTTGCCACAGCTTGCAAACGATGCGCCGCCGTCGAGCAGCACCAGGCCTCGTACCGCATCCGAGTGGCCGGTAAAGGTGGCCAGCGGCCTGTCGGGCGTGGCAATCGACCAGAGGCGGATCGTCTTGTCGGCCGAGGCGGTGAGGATGCGGTCCTCGTCGACGGCGACGACGGCCCACACGGCCTGCTGGTGGCCCTTGAGGGTGGCGACGCACTGGAACTCTCTCCAGACCTTGGCCGTCTTGTCCCAGCTGCCGCTGACAATGTAGCTGCCCCGCGGGCCGACGTCGAGGGTGCACACGTTGTCCTCGTGCCCGATCATGGCGTAGTCGGGGGCCGCAGACGCCTTGACGCCGTCGCCGGTCGCCTGCACCTCGAAGCCGTGGACGATCCTGTCCTGTCCCGCCGTCAGCGCCACGACTGCAGCAGTGGCCAAGGCAGGCAAGTCAGCGCCGCTGCAATCCAAGCGGGGGCTGCACTCGTCGCCTCGCTCGACTCACTGCTTCCACTAGGATCCTGCAAGAACGCCGAGGCATTGACGAAGCCGTCATGACCAGACAGCTCGGCGGCCGGTGTGAAGTCGCGCTGCCCCGCTCGTCTGAGCCAGATGCGCGCCGTGGCGTCGCGCGAGGCCGAGAGGATGAGGTGGTGCCCCGTCGCCGTGGCGCACGTCGAGACCGAGCGCACCTGTGCATGGCGAGCGAGACAGACCGCAACGGGAAGGCAAGAGGAGGAGGGGGTGAGTGCACTGCGATGGACGGGCAAGGACAGCGGTGGTGCGAGCTCCACTACTCACGTCGGCGCTGTGGCCCGCCAGTTGCGACGAGAGCTTGTACGGTGCCGCGGCCATCCTCGGTCAGTTTTGCGTGCAGACGTGAATAAGGTCGATCGTTGTGTGTGCGTGCGTGTGAGAACTCGATCGAGGCGTGAGTGAGGGGCGGAGCGAGGAGGCAAAGGTCGGACGGGGTGGGGTTGGTGTGCGGAAGGCAGGCAGCAAGCAGCAAGCAAGCGCAAGAGGCCTCCAAGACAGCAGGGAGAGTATGAGCACAGGCCACGCAACCCCCAGACGCCGCCGGCCTGCGATCACACGCGCAAAGCCACACCTCCACATGGCCCCACCATCTGGCCCAACAGCCGCACACCTCTTCGCTTCTTGGAGACAACGGCATCCCATCGTCCTTTGTTTCTCTTTGCTATCCGCAAGGCTCGTCTCAGAGTCGTCTACATGGCCAGCTTCGCTCGCTCGGGGAATGGGGAGCCCAAGGTCTACTGGGTAGGCAGGCGGCGGGCAAACTCGATCAGAGCACGCACGGGGCGCCCAGTCAGGCCGCGCGGCGTGTACTCGTTGGTCGTGGTGCCAGTGGCCTCCTGTCAAGGGGCGGGCGCACAGCCGATGAACACAGTGGCAAGACGAGACTCGATACGAGTCAGCGGGAATCCTCCGAGTCCCTCGAGTGCAACATCCATCGCCGCCCAACGCCGCAACACTCACCATGCTGCCGGCAATGTCGAGGTGCGAGTAGCGCACCGTGGGCTCCGCGCCGCCGCGCTCGCCCAGGCCGACGACAAACTGCTTGAGGAAGATGGCGGCGGTGCACGAGCCGGCCGGCCTGCCACCCGTGTTGCACAGGTCGGCGTTGGACGTCGAAATCTGCTTGAGGAACGTGTCGTCCATGGGCATCCTCCAGAACGGGTCCGCCTCGGCCTCGCCCGCCGCCTTGAGCTCGTTCCACAGGCTGTCCGACTCGGTGAAGGCGGCCGAGTAGACGTCGCCCAGCGCAATCACGCACGCGCCCGTCAGCGTGGCAACGTCGATGAGCGTGTGCGGCTTGAAGCTCTCCGAGGCGTACGTCAGCGCGTCGGCCAGGACCAGGCGGCCCTCGGCGTCAGTGTTGTCGACCTCGATCGACAGGCCGTTCTTGGCGATGACGATGTCGCCCGGCTTGGTCGCCTTGCCGCTGGGCATGCTGTGGTGCGGGGACAATGGTGGCAGCGGTCAAGTGTGCCGGTCAGCAGGCGAACACGGTCGCACGACAGGCGCGGGGTCCGGGCATCGGCCACCACCGCCGCGGTTCGCTGTTTGCAGCAGACTCACTTCTCGGTCAGCGGCGTGACGCAGACGACGTTGATGGGCAGGCCGAGCTCGGCAATGGCGCGGGTGGCGGCCACGACGGCGGCGGCACCGCCCATGTCGGCGCGCATCAGCTTCATGCCAGCGCCGGGCTTGATGCTGATTCCTCCGGTGTCGAAAGTGATGCTGTCCAGTGTTGTCGGCGGGACGAAAAAGGGGGACAAGACCAAGGTCAGCATCGTCACTCGTATCCTCGCAATCTCACAAGCCGTACGGCGCGGCGCGGCACGGCACGGCACGGCACGGCCCCTTTTGCTGCTCACCCCTTGCCGACGAGCGCGAGCGGCGCGGCGTCGTGGTCGGGGGCGCCCTTGTAGTGGATCTCGACAAACTTGGCGGGCTCGTCGGTGCCCGCAGCGACCGAGAGGAAGGAGCCCATCTTCTGCTCGCGCGCCCAGTCCTCGTCGTGGACAATGACCTGGGTGTTGGGGAGGTTCTTGAAGGCGGCGGTGACGCGCTGACCAAAGATGGTGGGCGTCATGAGGTTGGCGGGCGTCTCCTTGAGCTCGCGCGCCCAGTTCTGGGCCTTTGCGTAGACCTCGCCCGTGTGCCAGCTGAGGGGCACGCTCGACTTTACGTCGTCGGACTCGTCGCGCAGCTGCTTCTTGGCCTCGACGTCGGCGGCGCCGTCGATGGGGGCTATTTCGATCTCGTTGCCGCCCTGGACGTCGGCGGGCCTGCCCCACGCGGGCGCCTTGCCGCGCGTCTTGAAGTGGTTGACGTTCCACATGCCGAGGATGGCGCCCGTGGCGGCGGCGTGCGGGCTGGCCATCGAGTCGACGCCAATGGTCCTCTTGACGGGGGCGTCGCCCTTGTCGTCGGGGCCGGCGCCGAGGTCGCGGATGGCCTTTGCGCCCTTGGCGGCGGCGAGGCGGGTGCGCTCGAGCCTCTCGTTGCGCAGGTAGACGGGCTCGGCGGGGAGGACGTCGGGACCGGTGTGGGGCGCCTTTTTCTGCTCGCCGACCGAGACGGCGGCGACGGCGGGCTTGCCCTCCGGGTAGAAGAGGCGGAGGTTTCCGTGCTTTGCCGTGTTGGCGCGCGCGGCCTTCCACTGCGCCGAGACGTCGACCGACTTGGCGGTCGAGGAGCCGCTGGGGTCGACGCCGACGACGACGCCGGCGAGGTCGCGCGAGGAGGCGGCAGACATGGTCGAGGAGGAGGAGGAGGAGGTGGTGGTGGTGGTGGTGGTGGTGGTGGTGGCGCTAGTGGCGAAGGTGCGGTGGGCGAGCGAGGAAGCGCGGCTGGAGCTGGACAGGGCGGTGGTGGTGGCTCGTAGGATGGGGCGGAAGGCAGAAGAGGGCATGCTCCGTGGTTCGCTGTGCAAAGGGCTCGAGAGGGCTCTTTGTAGGCTCGGTTT